TATACTTTTTTGATACTTTTGATATAAATTTAATAAAGATTTATTATGTAAAAATATTATACAAACTGTTGATGAAATTTTTTTTTGTTATTTTTACGTTTTGTATTAATGCCCCATGAATATTTGATCAATAATTATGAATGTGTACATATATATACATTTGAGAACAAACGGAGCAACATTTTCTAAGTTTCCAAGATGTGTTAAAACATTGTATCTTAAAATAGCTCTAAGTGCTACTTTTTCAAAAAAATTTCGAAAAATTTTAATTTGACTTTTAAACACCATATAATTATCAATAACAATCGGCCCAATGTGATATTTTAGATTATTATTATGGTAATCATTTCAACAAACATTTTCTTACTAATACACAGCATCGATTTGCTTAGTAAAAAAACGAGTATTTGTATTACCCGTTTATTTGATTATTTTGGCAGATCATCAAGTGAGTCAATACTTTTGTATGGGTGTGTATATAATTACCAAATTTGAACTAACATATTAAAAAATTTTTTTCATTCCCATTCAATCAATTTAAAAAAATAATAATAATACAAGGAGAATTCTTTTATATAATTTATTAGTAATATGAAATATTAATGTGGGTGGAAAAAAAGAATTATATTTAATCATCAATAACTTCTTCAAGTTCTTCCACAACCTCTTCAATCCATTCTTCAACAATTTCAACATTTTCTTCAACATGTTTTGAAGTTGGTTTGAAGCCTGCTTTTTCTCTCTCTTCACTCAATTCTTTCTCAACACGTTTACGCCAGGCATTCCATTCATCCATAAGTCTACGACGATGTGCTATCTGTTCTTTAGATACAAATGTTTGCACTAATGTATCTTCTTCATCAAATTGTTTAGAATATTCTCGTAGATTCTTTTTGATTTTCTGTTTTTGTTCATTACTCAACAAACTTTTAGGGCGAGGTCTCCATAATAATTGTTTGAATTTATCTATTAAATGTTTTTGTAATAATGTGCCTTTGAAATCCCATATTGTGTATCCATTATCATTCTATTAATTAATTTATAAATTCAAGTTAATTAATCATCTTTTAATGTGAGCTATTTAATATATTGTTTTTTTGAGAAAATTTTATTACCCCTTGTCTCCACATGCTAGAACTACTTATTACAAATCGACCAGTAGGATCCCATTCAATATCAGTTACTCCATAATGTTCTTGTGTGCTCATAAGTTGAATAGATGCAGCTGGATCATTCTTTGTTGATGATTCTCCTCGTTCACCACTAAATCCTTCAAAATCCAAATCCCAAAACTCTAAATCAAAAACTGACTGTGATCTGAGGGTAGCCAAAACAAAATGTCGACCATGTGGAGACCAAAATATTGAATTTGAAGTTTTTTTCTCCAAAGTTTCTAATAAATTTGATAAGAAAATCAAAAAAAAATTTTAGGTAATTCTGAAAAAAATGATATCGGTTGACTTACTAATAAGTTTAAAATTAGCAACACTGCTTTTCCCAGGTTTGGGTTTTTCAAGATAATATAAGGATACATTTGTTCTTGATGCAACTCCAGGTTGTCCATAATTAGGATCATTTGTTGTTATAATTGCAAAACGTTCACCATTTGGTTCCCAAGCAAAAGTTATCACAGTATCTTTGATGAAAAATTTTTTAAAAAATTTTTTATGAACATATAATCAGATATTAAATAATTCTGTAAATTACCTTTTACCTTTTATTTCAATTACTTCAACAGGAATATCTTTTTCTCTTATTCTAAAAATTTCCAAAGTAGCATAAGTTGATTTTTTGGTTTTGGTATGTCGATCAACTTTAACACACAAAAAATCTCCATTTGATTGCCAATACAACTTACACTAGTAGTAGTAACAGTGGTAATAATAATAATATTATTATAATAATATAGAACTATGTTTGTATTTATTTTTGTTTTGAATGATTTGAAATGACACACTTACATCTTTAACATTAACTAAAGTCCTTATTCTTAATACTTCTTTAGATGGGATTTTCAAAAGAGTAACTCTAGCTGGTTGATTGTCAATTTCACGTGTCCAATAACTTAAAAGAAATTCTTCAGATTTTTTCCCACCCAATTGTTTGGATTTTTCAGAAGTCGGAGCCCATTCAAAAAACATTACACCCTCAATCTTTATACTTTTTTTATCAAGCAAGCCCATTTCAGGAGTTTCATAAACAGATATTTGTTGATCTTGTGTTACTCGAGCAAAATACTTGTCACTTGGAGACCATTTGAATATTGGCCATATGATTTTTTGAGATGATAGTTCACCTGTTGGTGATGTTGTTGTGGAAGGAAAAGATCTGAGCGACACACCAAAGCGAACATCCCATATAATAATTTGATTTCCTTCATCATCTGGTCCAAAAGGTATTCCTGGGCCTCCATTAGGTCCCAAGCTTATTGGTTCATTGCTCCATGTAACAAGATAAGTTTCATTTGGTGAAAAATCAATAAGTTTTACATTAGGATGATAAAATCGAGTAATCTTATTCCAACTTGATCCACCCCATAAAGCAATACCCTGTCTGTGAAATGTTGCAAGGTATGTTCCTAACGGTGACCATTGAACATAAGTCTCTGTCCAATTCTAAAAATCAATATTATTATATATTATTATTATTACTATTAAAAATATTGAATTTTAAAGAAAAATTTTTTTACAGTTCTTTTATAAACTTCTTCTGGTGGCTCTTTTTTTTTGTTCCAAAAAATATGAACGTCATCATTATGATATAAAACAAATTGATCTCTTGCAGATGGATCAGTAAGCCAACTCCTTAAGTGTTCCTTTTTAATATAAATTATTTTTTTTTTACGAATATAAAACCAAATTAAGTAAAAATCAAATTTGGTTAAACAAATTATCAAAGGGAATAAGAAAAAAAAACAAAACCTTTTCCACAAATTTTTCTTCTTCTGGCTCTTTGTATTCTTCTTCAATTTGTGAATATTTTTCAATATCAGTAAAATGATTTAAAGCAAGGTAATGTGTTTTATCCATAGGATATCCATCATACTGTTTAATTGCTAGACTAGCTTGTTCTGGAGTTTCAAATTCAATGAATAAATATCTATTTATATGTTTAAAGATATAAATAAAATAAGTCAAAATAAAATTTCATTTTTTTTGTAAAAATTATTCATTTGAATTAAAAATAATCAACCCTCTTGATTTTAATTTCCCAGTTTCAGGTTCAGGTTCAGGATCCATTGGCATGAAAATGCCATTTTCCTTAATCTCGCCAACATTCTTAAAAATCTTTTTTATAAAAGTTAATAATTTAGCTACTCTACTCTGATCAACAACTGGTGCATTATCAACTACTATAATTGTATCAAGCCCTTTTTCAAAAGAAACTTTATACTTCTCTTCTATATCTGTAAAATCAATCTCCTCCTCAGTTTGTGGTAATCCATTAATGTCAAGACTTGGCATGTTAAAAATGATTTTTTTTTTAAAAAAAAAAATCTAAATAATTTCCATTTTGGTTTAATTATCACATGTGACTGCGAGAGAAATTATCTCCCAAACATTTTGGTTCATTTAGGTTTGGTTTCGGTTTACTCTTTGAACCAAACCAAACTAAATCATTCAGAGCTTTGGTCTAAAAACTATTTGGCACTGCTTATTTAGAATTAAGAATTTATTAATTTCAAACTTATTATAGCAATTAGTATTGAGTTTCTTCTGGAGACATAGACTAAATTACTCAAAGGTGTTATAGTTTAGAATCTGAAACAATAAGAGTTTGCATGTGTTTAAAAAGTTTGTGGAGATGATGAATTTTATAAAAAATAGAACATTAGGGTTCCTATTTGAATAAGGTTTATCTGAATTATTATGAATTTGAGTATTCGAGTTACAAATAAAATGAATAATTCAAATAATTCAAATAAAATGAATAAAGCAAATAAAGCAGATAATTCAAATTAATATTAATATTAACTAAGGCTCTGAATGAATCATGAAATTCAAACAGATTCGAATATATAATTCGATTTGAACTAATTTGATTTACTTGATTTGATTCAAACTGACTGATTTGAATCTATAATAATAACTGGTTTGAATCCATGATTTGAATTAAATTATAAATGAAAAATTTTTATTTTAATGTATATTTTATAATTTTATTTACAAAAATATTTTTTATTTTATGTTTATTTATATAGTATAAATATTTCTTTTAATAATTTTATTTAAAAATTTATTATTGTGAATCTTTTAAAATTCCCTTCCACCAATTTTTATGGCGCATACAGCACCTAATTGTATCTGCAGACAAACTGCATCTAGTTGGTGTAATTAAATCAGTACCACCAGAAAAGATCCTTTCAACTAGGACACTAGATGCTGGAATGGCAAGATAATCCCTTGCCATTTTGGCTAGATGAGGATATTCCAGCTTGTGCATCTACAAGAAAATCATATCATACATTTTAATTACATCAATATAATCAATTATTTTATTGTTAAATAATAAAATCTAACTTACCTTCCACCATAACAAAACATCAGTCTTTTCTTGTGCATTTGGATCTTTGAGGTACAAATTTAATTCATTGGAATTGTGGGCAATACGTTTACACTTATAAATCTGACTTGTTAAATCATCCTCACCATCATTTTCATTATTACTAATTTCAGAATTAATTAATTTTTGTGCAGAGTCTATGTATCTTCTTTCCCAATTATCTTTTTTATAATAATTAAGTTTAAGTCTGGGGTTCAATACTATTAGAAAAATTATGATTATTATAATTTATTATTATGAAAAAAAAATATTGCTTCTTTATTTATTAACTAATTAAGACAAATTAATATAACTTATGTCTTAAAATGATGGTTACTTGTTATTATTGTATATAATGAAGCATCGGTTTTATTATAATATTGCAATAATTTATTTTTTGCTTTAGTTATAGTGACTTTCATTTCATCTGAAATATCTATCAAGTCTTCATAATCTTCTAATTGGTTTATAAGCCAATTATATATTGGTACAGAGGATGATAGTGTTGGATAACCATTCGGAAAATTAATACAAATATAAATTATATAATAAAATTAAAAATAAATAATAGATAAAATAAAGAACTAAAAATAAATAATAGATAACTAAAAATAATAAATAAACACAAATAAATAATATAATAATATAAAATAATATGAATAATATTACTCCAGATTTTCGGGGTTATTGATCAGTGGAAGGGCTTGGGAAGAGATTGTATTGTCAGAAGAGATGGATTTTGTATCCATCATTTCCATAGATGTATTAACAGTGAGTTTAGGAGTTGAATAGGGACAAAAATCAGTTGGCTTATTGAATGAACAATTCAAATTACAGGTAAAAGATTCACTGTCTTTATGAGCAAAGATTTGCCCAAAACAATGATTAACATTATTATGTTCATTTGTTAATGTATAAACAAATGTTTGATTGCAGTTAATACAAGCAATCAAGCAGTAGTCTTCTTGAGGGCATACTGAAGCAGAAGGAGAAGAAAGATCTGTCAAATTTTCTTTTTTGCTGGAACAGGAGTAGGTGGACTTTGTCCAGTTTTGGCTTTATTATGATTTCTTTTATTTGTCATCTTAACTAGGATTAATAACTATTGTATGGATGAAAAATAAAGTAAAATATGTTTTTGATTTGGTTTTTTTAATTAAAACAGTAAATTCTTTGAAAATTTTTATTTAAATGATCAGCAGAAAGAGCTTTTTAGGAGCCATCTTTAGTAGACCACTTGAAAATTTATTTATTTAATTAAAATTTATCCAAACTTAATTAATTATTCAGTAAATGCTCAGTCATTTATCCAAGTTTTATCCATTTTATTAATTGATTTATTCAGTAAATGCTCAGTCATTTATCCAAGTTTTATCCATTTTATTAATTGATTTATTCAGTAAACCTCCATTTTTAATGAAAAACGGAACTATAGATTCCATGAATATGATACATTTATGGAAAAAAAAATCCGGAAATGTATATTTATTAATATAAATGGAAAAAACATTGAGACTAATCATGTAGTAAATTTTTTACAGGGTGATGGTATTTTTAAGAAATGACGATCAAAATTTGGCCTCATTTTGTAAAATTGATAACTTCAATTCCTATTTCATCAGCTTGCTTCTAAAAGGAACTGGTCCTATACATGATAAAAAGAGAAACCTGGATGTGATTTAAATTGGTGTCCTATAAAAAAAATACTTTCTCGAATTTGCAACAGTGGCTTTCCATTATTATGGTACATTTCTGGTGAAATATGGAATTTTAAATCACGGATCAGTTTTTTTTTACAGGGTGTATATTTATTTTAATTACTGAAAATACAACAATATTTACAATTGATAGTGATGGAAATGTAGGGGACGAAAATAAAAGTGAGCCCAAATTGTTTTGCTAATAAAAGGTTAAAATTATTCAATATCAAAAGTCGAAAATAATTATAACACTCGCTATTAAAACATATATATAACGTGCGCTCGAACTTACTGACATCATTTCATCAAAAATTTAAGGCAAAGCTGAATCAGAATCGCCCTCAAAAAGTAACAATAATCACGACACTGTCTAAATATTTTGGGTTATATAAATAAGGATATAAAAGAAGATAATTATATTAATATGTTATGTAGAAAGTCCAAACATTAGTACCGTCCTCCATGTTCCACACCCTAAACATCTGTTATATTTATCCAGTGGAACAGAATTCTTCTTCCAGATTTCTGGCACATCCAATCATGATATTCTGATTCCTATTCCTGCTAAAACACACAATATCATCATGACTTTGAGGAAAGTGTGGATTATCACATAAATTGAGTATTAATAAATCGTGATAAAGGTATAGTAGGATAACATGATCTATAGGTTTTGATATTAGGTAAGTACCACACTTTTTAATGATGATTAAAAGGAATGTATTTGTCATCCATTTAATATTTGTCTTTATAATTTGAAGATACCTAACAAAACTAGTATGGCCTGGGGATACATGAGTGCATACATCTTTTCGAAAGATCTCATACTCTAGCTGCATGATGACACCGATGCATTCATTATCAATAGGTTGCAGTGCTCAAGATGATAAACTTAAACTACCAGATGTAAAATGATAACATATATAAGCCCCCGACCATTATTTAATGAGTAATCTTGTCATAATTCCAATTTTGTTGGACGAGGTAATGAATGCCTGCGATATCATTTTTTTTGCGTAAATGGTTGGCTGAAGGCACTATTGAACTATTTACTGCTATTTGAATTATTTATCATCAAATCTTTTGAAATAGAAATTTTCTCACGCCTGCAATGTTATTTAGTCTTTTACACACCAAAATTATTTTAATTAGGTCTCTTTAATCTGAATTCATTAATGGAAGTTCAGAAAAAAAGAATTTCCTTGTAATAACGCAATGCATTATTAGTGATTGAAAAGTAAATACAAATTAACTCAAATAATACTTCTAATAAACCTACTCAACACGGCATCTAACATTATTACTTGCGCCATTATATTAATAATCATCTTCATTTTCTATTCAAATATAAAATCAATAAATAATTTTAAATGCAATAAATTTATATATAATAAACATACCAAGTTTTTTCTTCATGTTCTTATTTGAAAATACTTATGAAAAAAAAATTCATGTATTAAATTGAATCTTTTTTTTTTTATTTGTGATAATCTTCAAGATTTTGTTACAAAGTTGTTTTAGAGTGCCTTAAAATACACACATTATCATCACCACCATTGCTGCACTAAATTAATAGAAAAAAAAAAACCCCCCACTTGTAAAATAAATAATTTTAATAGAGTAAATTAAAACAACATCTAACTTTCTGATAAACTTAACTTACTGATTAGTATGTCTTTCTCTTGTTGAATTTATATCACAGTTGCTTTGGAAAATTTTATTTGTTCGTTTTTCAAGATTGGTTGAATAAAAACGGACAAAAAAAATATCAAAAAAAAATTGAAAATCAGAGGTTTCTATTAATATAAATTTGATATGAAAAATTTTTTTAATTGCCTTCAATATTAAGCGACGAAGTTAATTTTTGATCCATTAAAAATCCAATTACAAAAATCTGTGAACTCGTTTTTCACTAATTTGCCAAAAATCATTCCAATTTTCAGGTTTTTTTAGCATTTATTACTTTAATAAGTTCACCGAAAATTTTGATGTTTCAATACATAAACATTGTTGAATAACCATCATATAACTAACAGAAGGTTTTTTAAGTTGAAGCTCTTGTGGGTAAATTTCGAACTTAAAATAATAAACTTTCAGACATCCTATTTAAATCAAAATAGTTTCTTAATCTTCATAACAACTTCAGTAATGATCTTTATATAGAAAGGTGTGGTAATTCGCTACTGGAAAGAACAAAAAATATTCTTCCTTCAAAAATTTTCCAATTTTTTTTGTTACACATTGTATATATACAGTATATAAACCAGACCATAGTGTAGATCAATGGGAAAGTATAAAAATACTCTCACACTTGAATTATTCAAAAAAAAATTTAATTAGTAAACCTGTTAATGAAGAGAGTCACTTGGATAAAAGAATTTTCAGGGACAGAGTTTATTAAAACAGGAGAACATTTAGCTGGCGAAGATGGATGGTATATATAAATGGGAAATCTAAATTTGATTATAAAAAAAAGCGGAGAGGTATCTATATAACATGCCCTATTTTCAATGTTACCAAGCGTACTATCCTTCATGATTTTAAGTTGTGAAAAGTTGAATTTTTAATCATTAACAGTCTGGTAAGCGAGGAGAAAATAATTCAAAAGTTTGGGATGGCAAATGAAAATATTCATTATGACTTCATGACCTTTCGTATGTATATATTTCATATACTTTATTATAAGGAACTCATTTAGTTCAACATCCAACTGCGTTTCAGTGTTGACCAGCCTAAACTGTTGACGTTTTTTCATGGAGTGTGAAGTGTAGTTCGATAGCAATATTTAGATGCCAGTAAAATATTAATTTGGAACGGCTTGATTGCAGTTTTTTCCACTTTGATGGTGAGAATATATGTTTATATGTTAATTCAAATACCTTCGAGTTACTTAAAACAGTCTTTCTAGTTCCAATAGCTATTTATGTTTTTATCTTCAATAGGATTAACTTGAACTTGAAAAACAAAGGGCATTAAGTACACGATGAGCACGATGAGCAAGCACAAGGACAAGGACATGATGAGTAGACGGTGATGAATCAATTAACAACCTTGATAATCCGACTCCTCTCTTAGGATAAAAAATTCAGGACTCCTCCTTTTTTTTTTGGGAATTTGTTGAGGTCTCTCCTATAATTATTAAGGATACCTGTCGAAATTAAAAAAACGGGTCGCAATTAGGTTGCAACAATCATCAAAAGTTGCAGTCGGTATCTTTACCTATAATCAGAAAATCTTTCCTCCTTTGCTATGTTCAGGAATTGTAATTACTAAATAAATCTGTATAGGCGTAAAAGGGATAGTTTTAGTGTTGGCTGGTCAACAGAACCGTTTTTTGTTGGCACATTTTCATATGCACAATGTAAGGTTTTAATTTGCACATTACTTGATTTTTTAATTATATATTCACTTCAATCACAGTTGTTCGAAATGATTCTAATATTCTAATTTCACACAAAAAGTTACTATGGCGCAGAAACTCAACCTTACAATTGTACGGGCATGTAATTTTTTTTTTTTGCAAATTTTACGTATATATAGTGAGCTTACCCCTAGAATATGCATGCATATATACATATTAATATGTAAACTCGATAAGTCGGTCTCGCGATAAGTCGACCAAAATTTTCAGTGTCCAGGATTATGCTTTTTTTTCTTCCAAATTATGCCCTGATGCTTTTTTTTCTAGAATTTTTGGGCAAATTTATAATAATTCCGACCAAAATTAATATTAAAAATTTTTATTTATTATTCATCAGAAAAATTAAAATACATGAAATTGGATTTTTTAATCGAATCTTCTTTTAAAGCTGTACGTTTATCAGTTAATATACTTTTATAGACCTTTCAACATCAACACTGAACACAGGAAGTTTCATCAACAGTTATACTAATCATTTTATATTTATTAAATTTTTTAATTTCTGTACTTCAAATTGGCAAAATATTTTTCTCAAAGTTGATTTGAACCTACAATATAACCTCCTAGGAAATAATAAAAATAAAAATATTCAAATTAATTTATTTTGATTTTTTTTTGATATGAAAATTTTCTTACCATTCTTACAATATCAATTAAAAAAGACTTTAATTTATCTATTTTATCCAGAGGAATATCAGCTTTAGTAAAAGCTTCAATAATTGCAATATTGATTTTGTCACGATTATTATTAGTGAAAGCAAAGAGCTTTGTAAAGGTTGTGTATTATTTTTGTGTTTTTGTTCAGCAGCTTTATGTTTCGTTTATTCTATATGGTTATCAACAATTGATTTTTTTTCATGATTTATAGTATGGTTATAAAAACGACAATATAATTTCCCAGTTTCAACGTAAAAATGATTATTATAATGACTCTTTTTCCTCGAACGTTCTAATGCAGACCATTTTTCATTCTATAATCTTAATTGAATTGTGGCCTATATTGATTGGCTAATTTAATATACACATAGATTATGTGATTATGCCAAAAAATAGTCAAATTATTCGATTATGCTCAAAAATTAAAAAGTGTGCAGCGATTTATAATAATAATCCTGAACACCCTATTCGCAATTATTTTCACTGATCGAAATTATTTAAGGTGTCGATCATCAAAAAATCTCAAATAAATAATCTATCTACCCATCGTCTTTCTATATTATTACTATAACAAACCGATTCTCTACTTATTATTATATAATTTTATACGGGATAGTAATCGCTCTTGAATCCACAAATATACATTACATAAATATAATAATAACAGTTGACAAAACAAAATAACCTTTGAATTGGAACACAAAAATATTTATGCGGAAGGTATGAATGTTCTCAATGATTAATAATACTATCTACTCTATTTACTATAAGGAGTTTGTTGGATGTTGATTTTAGAAAGGTAAAGAAGTAACTATTTTAATTTGTGAGAAAAGAGAAGTTTTTTATAATGTGATTTTATTTATATAAAGGGAGTTAACTGTACAACTAACTGTATATTATATATCTTTGATTATTGGAACGATGGTTAATGTAGAAAGAAAAATAGTGGATTACTTGAATACAGTATAAAAAAAAAAAATTTATTTTATTGAATTACTGGTATTGACTATTCTTAAAATCATGTGTTCTTCCCAAAAATTCATCGATTTCGACTCTGATAATCAATTCAAACCTAAAATTTTTAACTAAAATCGAAATCCAAAATCGAGATCGTAATTAAAAGTTGAAAGTTGGTAAATTCAAATTTCGAGTGTAATTATTATCAATTGTCATGATTGAAAATATAAAGGTATCTATTTATTTATTCACGATTGATTTTATTTAAATTTCGATTCTGATTTCCTAATTTCACCATCATTTTATGGAGACAAATACCAAAAATATCAGTTATAATAATAATTTTGTAAATGGCACTTTAAACTGTATAAATTAAATTTAGCTGTATGTTTTAGCGCCGTTTGTTTGTTGAAGAGTCATAATGTATTACTTTAACTGACTTAAAGTGGATAGTAAATGATAAATATGATGTATAGACGAATATTTAGGGTCTATTATTTGATCAGTCTAAATTATATTATATTTTCGATTCGATAGAATTATCATCTAGATTTTGAAAAAGATTTCTTGTCTCGTAATGTCTTTTCAAAATTTTGAACAAGTCTCGTTCAATATAGTTGCTGCATTTCATTGGATTCATGAATGCAATCATTAGTTCAAAAATATCTTCTTCCTAATGATCGACGATAATTTTCGCTATTATTGAATCTGTTTATAAAGGCCCTTATCAGTGTATAAAATTCAATGCCCGGAATGCTCACATATTACGTTACATATTAATAGAATCTGTACTATTTTTCAGTTGAATTTTCAACGCTGTCTGGTCCAAATAGCTCGCATAGATTGATGAAACAAAAAATCAATTTGATTATTAATTGTGACACCGTTTCAGAGATAAAGATATGGGAATCAATTGCAGATAATTCAGCATTGTACAACTGTAATAAAAAATCTAACATGCTTCCCCAAAAAGGATTAATTGACCCATACCATACGTTCTACGAGTGTTATACCATACTGAAACTCTCCCTACCGGAATTTCCCTCTAACACTGGTACGATTACATAAGCTCTGAGTCAGGAAGCGTAATACAATGATATTTGTAATAAATAAAGATATTCGGGTATTCGTAGTTTTTCCAAGTACTCGTAATGTTTACAATGCTCATAACGCATTCAAATATTTCTAACGATTATCGTGTTATATATTGAGATTGCAATGAAGGGACAAATCCGAATCCTCCGTTAAAATCTTATTCAAGCAGTGCAGCATCTTTATAATCCATCTTGTAAAAAACCTAAAATGCATAGAAGGCTTAAAGATAGCTTTATGTGGGACTACTAAATGAAGATAAAGATGGAAGATATAGGGTTTATCAAGTAAAAGAATCAATTCTTCTCGGCCACCTAGAAGGTGCACATAATACTAATTCAATTAATCAATAAAAATTTTAAAGTTTGATAATTAAAATATTCAATCAATTATCAAATATAAATATATCTGAAACCTTTATGCCACGAGTGTAACTTTCTTAATTGCCACAAGTAATTGAAAAAGATTGAAAAACATAAAAGTATTACGAATACTCGAGAACATTACAAATATGTTTAAATTTGAATATAATTATTTATTATTTTTATTATCAGAACATTTGTATTTAACCAATAAATGCTCGATTTTCAAACTTCCCATAAAATCATACTAATTTTTGTCGTGATCAAAAATTTTTTGTGTCTCGGTAATATCAACAAATAATATTCAAAGTTTCAAATAACATTGTATAAATTTACGCCCAAAAATTTGTTACACGAATTTATGTATTGATTTTCATTGTTTTTCAACCTTAATATTATTTATTACACCAATCAATAACATTGTTGTTTTGTTTCATTTCGGGACACTTAATCTTAATTTCATTTTACGGGTTACACAAAAAATAAACATATGCCATTTGTCATTAATGCATAACATGGTTTTTAACTTAATATTTATAAATAAACACCATGCATTACCAACAATGGTAACGAATTTCCTTCAAATAGTAATTATATCACTCAATAATATTGCCTAATTTTGATGGACAAAAAGATTTTTATCAATTCTTTATACAGAAGTAAAATTAAAATTGTTCCTCGTATAGTTTTTTTAAAAACCTTAAAATTGTAACTCCACGTGTCTGTCTATTCGTGATGTAGATGGACATTCGAAGATACAATAAATAATCCGAAATTCTTTTTAAAGGCTATTTTGCTCTCTGTAAAAAGTACGGTAGGAGCGGCTCTGAAACGAATATTCACTCTAAGAGGTGACAATTATTAAGCTGGCAAAATTTCAAGGGTGGTCAAATATGCGCACAGAACATAAATGTAACCGATCGGCCATTGTAAAAATAAAGAAAAAATTTAGTTACACGATTTGATAATTGGCTGCAGGTGACCGCGACACTATACATTTAAATCCAAATAAGGAAAAAAAATCACTCCATAGGGGTTACTGACTAGCCCATTTTTGGTTAAATATTTTTAAATTATTTCCTAAACAGAAAAAATCAACCAGTCAAACTTTCGAGATTCGCGTTAATATGATCAGACGCTTAATTTCAATAGTAGATCAACGTAGCACAGATCATGATTGATATTGTTTAAAAAAAAATTTTTCAACCACGCTCTTTTTAAATTAGAATAAAGGATTCCCTGACAGTCAAAAGTCGTAAGTATGACTGGTATTAATTGGTATTGGTTAAAAATGTGTTTTGCATGCTGTACAAAATGTATTTTAAATTAAATAATCGGATTATAAATGATTTCAAGTTATCATTGACGAATTTTGTTCTGATTTAAATCTTTCTAATCGAGAATTTTAGTAATTGAACTTGTTTACTCGATATTTTTCCTAAGAAGAATGCACACATTGGCGTTCGTTCGTGTAAAATTTATTATTTTTACTGTGAAAAATAAACAAAATATTTTCATGCTACATTAATCCTAAATTGTTAAAAACTTTAAAGTGTAGAATATAAAAAATCGAACGTTAAGTAATTACAATTTATTGTTTATATTATCTCATAAAATAAAAAGAATGAATACACTTATTTAATAAATTTTTAAATTATAAACATATCTATAAATTTAATACATAAATTAAATCTTATAATTGTGAATGATTTTTATCATATTGTGCTTAATATTGGAACTAATGATTCAGATTCAAAGTGAATCACTCACTGTTAGTTGCGCCCATGTAGAAATGTTGATCCCATGGTATACTGTTATTATCATTACTACTATTACTAATAGTAGCGTGAATTGAAGAAGATGATGATGATATTGACGTTGGAAATGGTATATTTTGTGAAAAGTTATTGTTATTATTAGTTGTTAGATTATTCGGTGTAAATACTGCTGATGCAATTAGTGATAGTGGTGGAGTTGAAGTCATAGTAAATAAATCCTTACTATTGTTGACAGCTGATGATAATAAAGAAGACGATAAAGCAACAAATTTGGACGATGGATCTTCCACATCACTACCAAGATTTGTTACACATAAATTAATATTATTATTGTCATTTGGATTTGGGTTTAGACTTGCTTCCGTTATTGTGAGACCGCTATTTTTAGCATCATTCTTAAGCATTGTTGTTGTTTCAAGTGTATTGGAATTATAATTGATATTGGGCAATAAAGATGATGACGATAAAGGCGATGACTGCGATGATGAAGAAGTCGATGATAATAAATTGGTAATATTTGCTATATTATTAATATTATTATTATTAAAATAATAATTGCTAAAAGGTTCATTTAATTGTAAATCATCACTATTTTTTTGTAGATTAGATATTTTTGCCACTGAAGCAGCTATTACATCTAATGTTGTCACCAAACTATTATTATTATTATCACCATTATTATTAGATACATGTTGAGAATGGAACGTCAAAAGTTGATTCAGGAATGGAAGCGGAATGGGTAATTCGCCATTTCTACTATTACTTACATTAGTGAATACCAAAATTCTTTCCACCTCCTCAATAAGTTTCTTCATCTCATCAGTACAACCCAAACTACAAATTTCTGCTATCAATTTAAACTCCTCAAATGTATCAATCAACGCTTTTGCTGCTTCGCCAGATGATGAGTCATCCTTTTCTCTGCTAGTAATTACAACCACTTCAGTTAAAATCGACTGCAAGAGGAATGGAAATGGCAACACGAAATAATGAAATGCTGTTTTATCATAATTTCTTGTTTTTTTAGCTATGTCAGTAATAGTTGTTGCAGCTGTCAAACAAGTTTTAATTAGATCAACGTTTGTTTGAGTTAATGATGATGGATCATATTTATTGGAAGTCTTAGACGCATGATGCTCGTGATGACTGTGCATCTGTTGTTTGGTTGCTATCGTTGTCAATGATGATCTTGTAAGATAAGGTTGATGTAGTAATAAAATGCAAGCATGAAAAAGTATGTTAATATAACCAGCAAATACTGAGAAAGTGGTCATTTGGAACAAACTTCTTGGATCCTCATTTGGCAGATACTGGTACTGCAATTCATCAGGTAATTCTTTCAACCATTTTGCCAATGAAGATCTAATTTGCCTCAATGAGCTTTTTGGATCCATCACGTGATTATGCCAATTTTCATAATTGACTTCTGATTTAGTGGAATAGCAAAGTTTCCAAATCTGACCAATGATATGCGATAGTTTTATGAATGCAACAAAAAAATTTTTAGTTGGCCGATCGAAATTTGGTAATGTCGGCAGTGGTATGTTGATGTCCATGTTTTTGAGTTTGTATGGTTTTCCCAGAACGAATGAAGTCCATCTATCGTGAATGTAGACGCAATAAAAGATTCTATGCCTTTCTTCCTCTTCCCCTGGTGTCAATGAATTATCTACGCGTTCAAGTTCCAAGAAATTTGCCATTGTAACTATGAAATATGAATGCAATAATATGAATGTGAGCATGATGAGCATAAGAATATTTAAATTTAAATACATTGTGAGCATTATATACATTAGACGTACCGGCCATATTTGAAAACATTAAAGCGCTATTAAATCTTGAAAGAGCCCTTTCGGAACTTGCTAGAAGCAACAAAGATTGAATAGTTTCTAATTTAGGTTCATCATATACCGAATCCAAAATTTTCTATACTCAAGCAAAATATAATTAATTACAAATATTAAATTAAATTCAAATGATTAATCACATTTTAATTATTTATTACCTTTGCAGCATCAAAGAACACACCGCCAGGTTTGTTTTCGGTTTTTTGAATTGATGGGTCGTTAGATAATTTCGAAGCAGCAAAAGCCAAAGTTGAATAGATCAATAGTTTGGAGTGGATGGGTTTGTCTTTTCTCAGCCAAATATCAGTGAATTTTCTTTGATCAAGAATTGGTATTATTGGATTTAATTTTGTGAAATAGCCTTGCAACAACTTTTGACATAATTCTTTGGATGGTGGTGAAGGTTGCGGTGAAGAAAATATGGATGGTGGTGAAGGAGATGATGATGACGACGATGATGATGACGGCGGAGGTGACGATGACGATGGAGATGACAATGATGACGAAGTTAACGAATTATTATTAGAATTTGGTAATGCTGCTCGAGAAAAATTATTGTTGATTGGATCGTTAATATCCAAATTGGAATTATTTTTAGGCAATTTGCTTAATTTATCTACTAATTCTACGACGTCATTAGGAAAAGTACGATTCAATAGCGTGGATAAAGGTGATTTGATATGTTTTTCTTCGATTTTTGGACTTGATAAAATCGGAAAATCAAGAATGATTGAATTATCTGAAGAAGGTGATGGTGAATAAGGTTGTGGCTTGTTGTTGTTTGAAGAGAAGTGGGTCAATTTGTTGTTATTATTATTATTATTGACATCTTTTGATTGTTGTGTTAAAACATTTTCAAGAATTAAATCAATATTTTTTTCGATTCTATGAATATCACTTTTAGTAAAAATTTGTTGTTCTTGTTGAGGACTTGATGTCGAGATTGATGAATTAAATGGTTGTTTATGACGAAGATTGTCATCATCATTTGGATCATTGGGAGGAATAATATCCAAATCTGATAATAAACGATGACGATGCTGTTGATAAAATTGTTTTGATATAAGTTGCTGTTGTTGTATTATATCAATGTTATTAATGTTGGGAATGGTGACGAAGCTAGAGGAATATGGTGATTCAGATAGACAAGTTCGCTTGGCCGAATTTAAAGGTAACATTTTGAAAAAAAAGAATATTGATTTTTTTTTTAATGGGAATAACGTTCTGCTTTTATATAGCAATTAATTTAACATGCATAAATAAATAAAATATTCTATTTTTCAATAAATATATGATAACATTTACACCCGAATTTTCGTGTTTTTGTTTGAGAAATAATAGATAATAAACGCATGACGTTATACATCACAAAACACATCGCACCATGAATGTCTTGAGAGAACATGAAGCTTTGTCTAATCATATTGATTTTTTCTATTATATTTTAAAGGAAAATATTATATACTGAAAGGTTCTTTTAAAAGAATTTACAGAACTCTACCAAAAATAGTAATTAATTCTATAAAGGACCAAGCTCGATTTTTGTAAAACCAACATGGAAATTTATCAAATATGTGATGATTAAATTTGTGTGCTCTCCAGCACATGGTGTTTACCAACTCTAAGAATTGATTGTTGTATTAATTCTTATTTTCACGTAGTTTCTGTATATTTCATTAAAAAGATGCAATAAGATTTTGTATCACAGAATTTATTTTAATCGTAGATTTTAATATTAAAAATGTCAAAATTGATTATTTGTTTTGATCAATACTTGGAGGTAATTCACTAGCAATACTTTATCTATTTTATTTTTTATTTATAATACGATGGTTTAGATTTAATTTATTAAATGGCAACACTTCTTTATCAAAGCCTCGGTCGAAACCCATCAAGCATATTATTATTACATGTATAATTAAAAAAAAGAATGCAATTTGACATGTTTATAGATTTATTAATTTAATAACACAAGTCCACATGCTATGATTGTGTAATAAATAACATAGGAATTGAAGATATCATTGAAGTAGCCGATGAAAAATATTTCATTATTTCTCCTAAATGATGAAATTTTGCATAATATTATGAATCTATGCTACAGTGAATGCTGAACCATCCTCGATCCCTACTGTAAATTTTTCACAATAATAACGCGCGATAGTTGATAAAAAAGTGAATTGTTGAACAAATAAAGTTTGCCTCAATTGAAATTCACTATATGAACTTTGTCAGTAATGAAATAAATTCAATCGTAGACATCAAAAAATTTTTTTTGTTGGTATAATACAACAACAACGACAACAACAACAACAACAACAACAACAATAATAATAATAATAATAATAATAATAATAATAATAATAATAATAATAATAATAATAATAATAATAAATTGGTGCACAAATTCAAATCGTAAATAAACATACAAACAAAAAAATCTGTTGAATTTAAAAAGTTTTTTTTTATAAATAATATCATTATATTGTGGTGGAACATCAATATGCAGGAGTGTCCGGATATGTTGTGACTCGCAACAGCAGCATTTGGAAAAATTAAAGCTTACCCCGAGTCAAATAAGTGTTACCAGAGAACATACTACCAATCATTTGACAATAGCATACAATTTTAATTTCCTGATGAAGGCAACGTTATCTGCATCGTGGAAACAAATCTACATTGCTATATTGCTATATCAGGGAAACAAGGCACGTTAATGCAAGACAGATTTGCGTGAATGGATCGGAACATTCTATATAAAGCCACAAGTTATACTTTTGGTAATCGTGAGGGGAGTGAAACGCCATATATGCAACTACTACGAAATACCAAAGAAGGGGTTCATTTTGCTTTCTGAAAAATTTACTTCGACTTTAAACAATTCTGCAACCTGAAACTTGTAATGTATGAAAAACCTAAATTGAAATTGGTTTAGCGTTCATAATGGTCTCTATCTTGAAACTGTTTAGTGTTTTACAACTCCATATTGATCTGCGTGACATGTCCTGTGACTGATAGATATTAATTGCTGCGAAAGTGTGGTTCGAGTTATTAATTATGAAATCGCCAAATTTGGCAACTAAACTAAAATCAACTATGCTACTTGAGTAGGATTTCTATTTGAAAAATGTTATTCGAATAAAGCAAACAAAATGAGTAATTTCGAAGGGAATTCAAAATATTTTAGGGTCACAGCATTGTTCGAAGCGGTTTTAATTGCCCACCCAGCCCACCTGGTTCATAAGGCTTGTTTAGCAATTGAGTTGATAATTGAAGGATTAGAGTAGTGATGCCTTCCCTTTGGAGAAATAGATTTGCATATTGTACACACACATATATATATACACTTGTTTAATTTTATGAATTCAACATCCAACCACGTTGACATTTATCATTATAAATTGTTAAAAGACCTGCTAAAGAATGTTTGCTCTTAACAAAGAATTAAAAAAATTCTTATGTAGTGGCTGCAGTTGAATTAATTAGTTGGTCAACTGTTTCTGTTTTTAGATCCCCGATTATTTAAGTAAATAGAATATTTTTCTTGTAATAATCTTTTAAAAGCTTTTTAGCATTAATTCATTACTTAAAATATTTGCATATTGATATATGTAGTGAAACATCACGCGCAGATTCAAATTCGTATTACAAATAGTAAATAAAATTTTAAGTATTAAGCATGGTGATGGATAGGGTGACCCAGATTGTGCTTTTGCATAAATCGCTGCATATTTCTTAATTTTTGAGCATAATCGCATAATCGAGCATAATTACCATTTTTTGGCATAATCACATAATCTATGTGTATAATTTACCTTTATGTGTGATCGACGATGATATTAAATTGTCGTTTTTGTAACCATACTATAAATCATGTAAAAAAATCAATTGTTGATAAGCATATAGAATCAATGAAACATAAAGCTGCTGAACAAAAACATAAAAATAATCCACAACCTTTACAAAGTTCTTTGTTTTCTTTCACTAATAATGATCGTGACAAAATCAATATTGCAATTATTGAAGCATTTACTAAAGCTGATATTCCTCTGGATAAAATAGATAAATTAAAGTCTTTTTAATTGATATTGTAAGAATGGTAAGAAAATTTTCATATCAAAAAAAATTTAAAAAAAATTAATTTGAATATTTTAATGTAAATTATCATTTATTTTTATTTTTATTATTTCCTAGGAGGTTATATTGTAGGTTCAATCAACTTCAAGAAAAATATTTGCCAATGAGTTATGAATTTGAAGTACAGAAATTAAACTTCCTGTGTTCAGTGTTGATGTTGAAAGGTCTATAAAAGTATATTAACTGATAAACGCACAGCTTTAAAAGAAGATTCGATTAAAAAAATAAATTTCATGTATTTTAATTTTTCTGATGAATAATAAATAAAAAATTTTAATATTAATTTTGGTCGGAATTATTATAAATTTGCCCAAAAATTAATTGGATATTTCATTTGTTCCACAAAATCAAACTGTTACGCAAAAAATTTATTTAATTTGTTTAAAGATTGATCAAGATTTAAATCACCTTTCAAAATTAATTCTTCAGACCCTCCAAATTAATATTATCTTCACTATCTATAGTATTTTCATCCACTTCCTCATCTTCTTCACCTAATACAGATGTATTATCTAAACTTTCTAATCTATTGTTATATAAATTTCCTAAATACTCAATGCCATTCAATAAATAATCAAGACAATGTTGACATTTAAACTGTAAATCTTGAAGATATTGATAATGATATTCATAGATTACAAATTGATATGCAATTATCATCATTATAGTCATCTGCTATTTCACAATTTTCATAATCACAGCAGGAATCAAAACTGGGCAGATAATTGGTAACAGAGAATCATTACTTTTCTTTTTAGATTTATTTCTGTGAAGGGCTCATAATTTGATATAACATATCAAAAAAGCTTTTAACAAAGGATCTCTCTCTTTCTTTGATCATTTTTACAAATTCATTGTGATCATTAATAATTCCATTTTTTTCACCATGTTGATACTTTATATTCAATTTATTTGATTAATTATTTAATCACCTTTAATATTAAATTCTGTAATTTGATTTTATAAACTAAAATTAGTATTTGCTTCCATTTCAATTGATTTTCTCATTTTATATGTTGCATTTTCAGTTTTCTTTTATATCTATTATATCTATCATATGCTATATAAGAATTATAGATTTAGAACATATTCTTTCGCCTATATTTAATTCATAACCCACTAGTTCAGCTTTCTCTTTTCCTTGTTCTGAAATATTTCGCCACTTAGAGTCATCTTTTTTCTATTTTGCAAACAGAACAAAAACCAACAGGCATTTTAGTAATGACTTGCAATCAAGAAATAAAAACTGTTACTTCGAATGGATCAGGGTGGATCAGGGAATGTTGAAGTTAAAAGAGTATACTTGTAAAATTTGAAAGGTTGTTATTTAGTGTATTTGCACCCGCCTCATAAGTGTAACCCATAGTCTATACTAAAACAATTGAAAAATAATCAACATAATATAAATAATGTCCGCCATGCTGTTTATTTATACATTTATTATTAGTAAATGAATGCAAAGAAATTTTGCAAAGTATTCATAAGGCAACATGGACAAGGATATATATATATATATGTTTATGATGAAAACAATAGTAAGTTAGTGATATTGAAATGCTTGATAAAATTTTGATAAACTCAATAGTAATTTTCATTTAAAATGATAAATTTCGTGTCAATGGATTTTATATATAATATTTCATGCATATCTAAGCTCCATGTGAGCCGGTTTGCATTGGCTCACACAAAACATTAATCGAATCATTGTAAAATTAAATCAGAAATGATATTTAGTTGCCTTGGTATAATCAAATTCAAAGGTAGCGGAAATTGTGCAATGCAATGTTGTGACCCTAAACCCTTTTGGCTTCTCGAAACAGTTTCGGTAAACTGTCTAGTTTAGGTTTCGGGTTACAGAATGTAAATCAACACCAAAACCTAAGCCCATATTCGACTTTACCCAAATTTAAATTCATATCCAAAACCTTATTATTTATTTTAATTTGAGAAATGTAACTCAATTTATATTTCTATTTGTGTTCAGGGCAATGAAAGTAATAGTGAATCCATTGATACAGAATCAGATATTGATCCTGACAATTATGAATATTATAATAACCATAATAGAAGACTACATAGATTTAAATAATTCTTTATTTAATTATGAAGGTAGTAACAAAAATGAAATTGATATAAGTGTAGAGAATTTACAACATAATGAAAATTATGAATATAACCCCAATGATTTGGGTTTCCAATATTTTTTTGATGTGATGTGTGAAAATAACATCAATACTGCACTGCAAAAAGAAAAAATAGTTAATTATGAATGTGATACTGATGAGGAAGATTTGGATTATGATTCACATAATTTTTTAGGTTTGATAATGAAGACGGAAATTTCAACGAAAATAATAATGATGAAATTCAAAGTTCTGAAGGAATTTATGATGGTGGTGAAAAAAATTATTAATATTAATAGAGAAGGGAGTCAAAAATAATATTGATTTATATGGAAGTAATGATGAAAGTTCAGATAAGGATGATGATATTGAAATAAATGAAGATAAAGAAAAAAAATCTAAAAATACATCAAGGAAAAGAATTAAAAAAAACTATAAAGATTAATTTCGTGATCCGTGTGAAACATCTGCAAAATTTGCAGATCACCAATTAAAATTTTCTGGACTCCAACATAACCACCCTTTATGTTGATATAAACTAAAATTGTACTTTTAACGCATGATATGAATCTCGAAGTTTAAATATACAAATTTTCAAAGGAACTTTCTTATAAAATATTTTGTTTATATGTAGGAATCGCTGGATTCCTGCCTAAAATTACTATATAAAATTTAAAGGTTTGAGAAGCAATTAAAAATATTTATGATGTAAAAATAGTTGTAGAATTAATTTTATCCAAGAAGTGTAAATATGTTATTTCTATTTAAAAATTATCGTGATCATGTAATTTTCTTGGCTCACGTTGGTCACGTGAGATAATATCAGATTCTCAAAACTCCTGAAATCATAATGCTTATTATCGCCACAAAAACATATTAATGATCAGGGCTGGAAATAGGGTCTGAAAAAAACGGAAATTTCTCTTGAATGCTAAAAATTTTCCAGAAGAAAAATTTAAAAAAAGGAAAATTTTTTGGGTACTAAATTTTTATTTTTTTCAAATTTAAGAATTTTCTTTATTGTTTTTTTTTTTACTAAGAGCATCACTAAAACCATAACCAAATAAATCAGTACCTTATAAACCAATCATCATTAATAAGTACAATGTGCCATTTTCCATTGCATTACATTTGATAATATTCTGTTTGCTAAAACCTCTTTCACAATCTACACTAGAAAATGGAATTGAGTGCACTATTTCCATAAGTTTTAAGATATAAATATAAGACTTGGAAGTTTGGAAATTGGAATATCTTCTTTTGCTATCCAGTAAATTATTTCATTACATCAATTATATATTTGTTTCCATTACTAATGGCTCTTTTGGAAGACTCTTGCATGGTTATTCTTGACTTTTCTAGAAACAAAGCATCTTTGTGTTGGTTTGAAAGCGCATCAGTGGCTAGAGCAGTAGATTTTGAAACATTCTTTGATCCTAATAATAACATTATAATTATACATGAAGTTGAAAATATTTTGACCATTTGCAGATCTGGTCGAAATAGGGTTGAAATAAGGTTGAAACTGATTTTTACTATGTAGTTGTCTCAAGTCGACTTTGGGTTTTTAATTTTGACTTATGTATAATTATAATATTAGTAAATTAATAATTACAAAATGCAAAATCAATTATATTTATTTGTCACCTTTTCCTGTAAATAGATTTTTTTCCAATGTACTTTATAAATTGTGCAAAACATTCTCTTCATTGTTGTATCATATTTTAACCATTTATATATGTTAACCATTCATGCCAAAAACTTCTTCCTGATTTTTAAAATGCACTTTTTTATTTGACATAATTCTTTATTTTATTTTATTTTTTTGATTTTTTTGAAGTATCATCATCATCTGAACCTTGAATTGTCAAATCACCTGGGCCTTCTACATCTGATTAATCAATATTTATTTCATCTATAAATGCTTCATCATCCTAAATTTCGGTAGTCAAATTATCTAAATTTTCTTGTTCTATACCATTTGTTTTTTTGAATAAAAGAAAACAAAAATACATAATTCATATTTAAAGTGTATATATTTTTAAATTTAATAATTTAATAGCAGTGAAATAAGATTTAAATTGAGTCAATATTTTTCTTCTGAAAATTCAAAAGATACAAATTATGGTTCTTTTCTAAAATATTGAAGCAACGGCACACATATACTGTATGTATACATATTTAGTATGGTTGGCTCGGTCTAAAGACCTCCTATTGCTGTGCCATGCGGCCAAATTTCAAAATAGCAATTTTGTAATTCGTTCAAAAATTTTCAAAAAATAGGACTTTACGTGATTTTAGTTTTCTTACTATTACTGCCAAATTTAGATACGTTAGTCAAGAGCTAGTCTAAATTTGGTAATGTTTTCCTAAATTTAGAAATGATCATAGTGGACAAAATTCCTCGCGAGCATAGTAAAGTACATGCTTTAAAAAAGAATAGAATTCTACAACAAATAATTTTTTTGAGAAAATCTCTCTATTACATTAAAACTAAAGACATATTCTATCAACTAATAGAGCTATTTTTTTAAAAGGTAAGACAGAAAGTGACTTCTATACTTTTAAAATTTAGGAGGTCTTTAGACCGAGCCAATTATATAAAATTTTTTTTATGCGGATGGAAAAATTTGTACAAAAAATAAAAATAAAAATAAAAATAAAAAGGAAAAATATAAATATCCGGCAACTCTTTTTTTTCCGGGAATTAAAATGTTTTAAAAATCCGGATTTTTATATTATTTCCAGCCCTGTTAATGATCGGCAAATTTTTGCAGTTGTTTCACGAATTAAAAGTTTAAAAAATAGCATTAAAAGTTTAAAAAATAAATTAATAACAATAAACTTTGAAATAAAATCAATTGGTAATATTTTACAATAAAGGCAAATTAATTTTGATATAAAAAATAGTTATTGTTTGGTGTAAAAATAGTTCAGATAATAAAAATAATTTGTTGATATAAATTTTTTTAGTTTCAGTAGGAGTTTGAGATTTAGGTTTTGGTATTTTTGTGTTTCAGTTTCAGTATGGATTTTAAATTTCGGTAAGGTTTAAATTTTAAATCTCTCTAAACTAATTTAGGAGCGTATGTCCCTAAACTCGGAGTCTAGGATCACAACATTGGTGCAATAGTTTTAAATCATAAGCACAAAGAATTTTAAGTAATTATTTATGAAATAATTAACTTTAAAAGATTTGATTATTCATGTAATTGATTAAATGATATCAAACTGCTTTTCGTGTTCCAGGGTCATTTAACTAGTTGGACGTTAAATGAAACGGCTTATTTATTAATTTGGCTCTATCTATCGAAGGAGGTTATCTGGTAAAACTCGGGAAGGACATAAAATCATGGCCAAATTCATCAATCCTAAATTGCAAACGAGGCACATTATACTTACTCGAGAGGGCAGGTATAGTGGGTGATCAAGTTTTCTATGTTCAATAAATTAAAGAGCATCGATAAACTTGGGAATATCTGGGATGCTTCATATTTAAATATTCATTGCTCCCTCCTTTTTTTTAAAAAAAAAAATACAACGGAAAAAATGCATTACATGAGAATGTAACCAACCTGTAAAGTTTGTAAAGTTTGAGGTTTCTATCTAGGAAAATAACAATTAAAAAAATTAAAGATTCAACCATATTTTTTTTTTTTTGAAAATTTAATCCGTCATTAGGTACAAAAATATGAGGATAAATATTTAATCTACTAGCTTAGTTGAAAATTCTAAACCTGTAATTTCATTATTCAACTCATTCTAATGATCAGCATCTGCTTGCTAAATTTCTCATCTGGAAGTTTTTTATCGTTCTGACTACAGCTGTTCTTGCAAAGCCAAGTGATTTAGAAATATTATTGCTGCGTTCCTAAAGTCCAATTATTTGTCCACGTTTAGACTCTTTAAAATTGACAATTTTTATTTAACTTTCAAATTTAGCAAAGTAAATAACAAAAAAACGTAAAAATATACGACGTGTACTCAAGTTATCACATGCTAAAATTCAGGTGTCGTTGACATGTAATTTTTGGGCAATTAAGCATTTTTTTGACAAGCTGTATTTTTTTAATGACGTTTATTTTAATATTTTCCTAGACTTTAAATTTTTATATCATTATAATGTACGTTTTTGCGGAATTATTAGATTTGTGGTGATTGAAACTTTTGTCCAGGGAGCACATTTGGTCCCATTTGTTTTGCCCTCGCAACTCATAGTATTAGTATTAGTGTGCTGATGAGATTTTTTAGAGTACACATTAATATATAACTAATCTTTCTTTATCATGAACTCAATTTATTAGTTATTTGCTATTGCTACTATTTATATCTTACTTCAAAGATTTATTTTCTTCCGACTAAATTTTTTATTAAAGTATAAGAAAATTGGCATTTATGGATAAATGATCCCAACAAACCGATATAAATATTCGATTAATCATCCTAATATTAGAATATCAGCATTTCTAATAGCTGCGGATTCTTGATAAAATAAATTATAAAAGCCTTAATGAAGTAAACTTCAGCTCGCTATATCATAACGAAGCAGAAGTATCCAGGAAGGGGCTAGAGATTAATGTAACTAAATGAATCAGGGAAACAAAGCGACATGACTGCATCATAATTACAAGGTAATGTTGTCTGTATTGTGGAAAATATGCTAAAGTTGCTGCATGGAGAAATTCAATTTTATATGCAGAATCGGAATGTTCCAGATGATGCCTTAAGTTACACCTTTGGGAATTGTGGAAAGAGAATATGCTAAATAAATACACGACCACAAAGATACAAAGGAAAAGTTTACTTGGCTTTTTCAAGCATTTATTTCGACTAGTGAGCTTAATTGTTCTGGATTATGAGCTGGATTTTAGGTTAATAAGAAGATCTTGTTTAGCTATTTGGGCTGACAAATTAAAGATTAACTGCTGTGCTTTACTTTCGGGTGAATAATATAGTAGGTATAAGT